AAATCTTTCCAAATTTCAAACAAAACATACATGCAATATCTACATCCTATACAATGATTACATCGATCTTTCTAAACATCGTACAATAATTCGTAGCCCTACTGGCAGCATTCCGCATCAAAAACACATTTGTCCAACTTGGAACGAAAGAAAGAAAATGAAGCTACTGACACTGCATATATCATTTCGTGTCGTGCAAAAAGAATATTCGAGTCGTTGTACAAAACTGTTTAACATTCTATTTTCGCGACACTAAACTTTTGAAGATATTAAAAAGTTATAAACTCTAACGTGATCTCAATAAGTATCCCTTAAAAATGCCCGATGAATCGGATGATAAAGGAAAAAATCGCGTCGCGCCCGAAACGAACGAGATCGCGATCTCTCGAAAGAACTAACAAACCTACACGACGTACCCCCGTACACGAGATAATCCCGTGGTTCAGCGGAAAGCCCAAGAATTGACCGTAACTCGATTCCTGTTTCGCCGTTCGAAACTTACACGAGTCGCGGTCGATGGCGCCGACCGATGATGCTAATGGTACACTGGTGATCCAGCCGTGGATCCAGCACATAGGCCGGCAACTTAACACACTCCAACTGAACAAGTGAAACCCGGGGAGGGACGTGAAATTGCAAGTCCCTGACCGAGTACCGAAGTACCAATCGGACAGGACTGTAGATCCATGACTGGCTCTCCAACAGATTCGTAAGCATCACCGGCGCGACGACAACTCCCGTGATCTGATGCAAACGTCGAACAGTCGTCGAGCAGTCACCAAGACAGAGGTGTCCTTGGGGCGACTTACAAATCCAAAGAGTTGTCTAGTGCACGTTGACCCGCACGCAACTCGGAATAAGCGCAGGCGAGTATGTCACGCGACAGTTTGAAAGAACTGAGCGATTGCGAACCCATAAATCGCGGGTACAATTTTTCCTGAGTGGTAAGCGAAGGAATCAAGGGGAACGAGATTTTTATTTTTCGTTCCAAGATGGATAAAGATAGATAGGTATCTTTGTACAGAATGAGCTTACAATGCACATAACATAGGCATCTATCTTATGATTAATTAAGGCTAAAACGCTCGCATCCCACGGTGTCCCGCGATGTCCCACGGTGTCCCGCGATGTCCCACGATGTCCCACGATGTCCCACGGCGCCCCCGCGCGGGGGTGTTAGTCCAGCCTAGATCACCAAAACTATTTTGGATGATCAAGACCAAACTTTATTCAAGTAGTTTTTAGCTGGATATTGTTTTTCAAATAATAATACTAATACTCAGAATAGTACATGGTATATTATTATTTGAAAAACGATACTAATCACCAGGACCCACCACGAAGAGATAACTACGCTCGGGTCCCATTTACATAAAGAGTTTTTAAGCATTGGAAGCAGAGATGTAAAATTATTTTCTAACAAAAGATAGCGTGTATTGAAATTTATTAATTAGAATAGTTGTAGTACGTGGATCCGCATAATCATACTTAAATATTGAGCTTATAATCGACGAAATGAAACCATGCAACTTACCAATTGTAGCACGCATAGATGAATGATGAGATTGCACTTGCACTTGCTTCCTTGATTCCATGAATACGGTGTTGATTTTTTGGCTTTGAACGAACATGAAGAATTACATCCCATCCATAAACACTCAATAGATACACTCTGCTTTACCGCTGGTTTTATACGAAGTAGTGAAGTGAGAAATTAAATACTATACTTAAAGTTAAAAAATAATGTTACATTGAAATAAAATAGCACTTCAGAGACTTGAAAGATGTCGTTAATATTAAATAAAACAAAATAAATCATTTATTTACTCACTACAAATTGATGGTATTGATTTAAATGAATGGTAGAATTGCTTCCGATTAATGATACAACTATTATAAATTAAGAGCATAATTACTTTGAATTAATGGGAGAATATGGTTATAAATTATTGGTATAATTGTTAAGAATTAATGAAGCAATTGTTTTAGATTAATGGATTAGATGTTATAAATTAATAGTTTAAACGTTAGAAATTAATGATTTAAATGTATAAAGTAATAGTTCAAATGTTGTCAATTAATGGCATAGATGTTGTAAATTAATAGCTTCAATGTCATGAACTAATAGTTTAAATGTAAGAAATTAATGGGTTAAATGTTATAAATTAATGGCTTAAATGTTATAAATTAATAGTTTAAACGTTGTAAATTAATGACTTAAATGTTATAAGTAATAGTTTAAATGTTGTAAATTAATGGTTAAAATGTTGTAAATTAATAGCTTAAATGTTATAAATTAATGGCTTAAATGATAATGTAATAGTTTAAATGTTATAAATTAATGGCTTAAATGTTATAAATTAATAGTTTAAATGTCGTAATGTAATAGCTTTAATGTTATAAATTGATAATTTACTTCGCAAAGGTTTTTCTTCGATTTTTGTTCGATCTTCACGGTACGGGAGTTCACACGCAAAAGAGCTTACGTACGAATCGCATGTTCCTTATATACCTGATGGATTGCATTTGACAAGGTGACGAAAGGTGAAACAAACAGTAACGGTTTGCTGATGTCATAAAAGGTTTTTTCATTATAACGCAATGAAATTTAGTAACTTTTTAATTTTTATTGTAAATTGACGCCTTCAACAATTTGTTACAATAACAATTTTTATAATTATAATATTTTTTACAAACTGAAACTAAATTTACAGTTCTGTGATACTAGTTTTTGATTTAGAACTGTGTTAATTTATATTGAATGCCAGTTTATAATGAAAATAACTGTTGTATTATAAACAAACGATATAACTATTATAAATTAATAGTATGATTATTTTCAATTAGTGAAAGCCTATTGTCATAATTAATACTATAATTGTTAAAAATTAATGGAGTAATTGTTTTAGATTAATAATAAATTGTTATAAATAAATAGCGTAACTGTTATAAATTTTTAGTTTATTTGTTATAAATTAATGGCTTAAATGTTACAAAGTAATAGTTGAAATGTTGTAAATTATTGGTTTAATTTTTACAAATTAATAATTAAATTATCAATAAGTAAATAAAAGTTCTATTTCGATCTACATATCTTATGTCTACCTTACCTTACGATCTACGTCCTTATATACCTCGTACAAGACGTAAAGAAGGAAAGCACGATATTTAGACATAAATCTACCCGCGCAATCTTTTGCAAAAGTGGTAGATTGAACATTAAACCTGCTTATTATTTTTAATAAAGAAAAAGATGTTTATATTATATGACATTTATTAAACATTGCTTACATAGAAAATAATACATAATAATCGTGTACGTAAAAGTTGGTATTTATTGCTTTTTCCTTAGATGCTATTCAATGATTCGTGAGTCGAGTACACGACCGCCTTAATTAAGGAGAAAAAGGAAAAGACAGAGACAACCAGATTCGATCTGTTTTTACACGATGGCGTCACACAACAAATCCTGGTCACTTGTATAGCAGGTTAATCGTAGTTAAAATAACCTATAACCAAGTGACAAATGGAAACCCGCCTAAGGCGCGTGGACGCCAGCAAAAGCGTCGCTTTCTTAGGAAAGAGAGGAACCGTCAGACAAAACCCATTAAGCAGCCGGAGAAAGTAATGGAGTAAGAAGTGCAAAGAATCAGCAAAAATTTAGTGTTTATTATAAACATTTGCAGTCATTACTCAAAAGGCCCTTCTCCGTCCTTTTGACTCCTAAAATCGTGTGCAAAATATGTACAGGTGACTAACAACCGCTATTCAGTTCTTTTCCCGCGAACAACTAAAGATACTTTACCGACACGCGACTCAGTGCACATTTTTGCTAGTCACCAAGTCCTAATTTCTCGATTGAAGAGCCCTATTGTGGATAAATTCACACACATCTTCCGACCACTAAGAGCCTTACCGCCTCCACGGGAATTTCTAGACTTGTATATACAACCGTGCTCCCGATTCCCATTATTCCTATGTTATCAACCTTATATTTGTGTTATACATAATTAAATTACCAGTGGAGGGAATCGGCGAAAATAAGCATATGATAATGTTTATAGTACCATCACTGTGGTAGCATCCGTCATTTGTAGCGTACAATATTTCTCGTTCAGTGTTATTCGTACTAAATATTTAGTTATAATCTTGTTATAAATAATATACCGATTTGTGCATTCATGTGTGGTTGTACGTGTATGTTTCTTGTTTAATCAAGCATTCATTGGTCTATTATAATTATTAGTAAATCCTCTAAGCATCTACGTCTTAAATGAGGTTATGTCACAAAAATTTCATAATCTTAAAAAAAGGAAAATATTTAAAAACTACGTATAACTTATGTCAATCCAAATAAGCTGCCTTCAGAATGGATATCCTAGCAACGCAAATTTACGAAGATTATGATTCCACACCAACACAAAAAAATTCTTATTCTTCTCAACAAAGTGAAATAGTGGTAAAGATGAATCAAATACTTACGATTCCAATATTAATATTCTAGTAATACTCATATTTCATAACATTTTATTTTAACAATATTTATATTTTTAACGTTTTTCTAGACTAACATTGTTTCTTTCACTTCTCTTTTATTTTTCACATTAACTCTGTATTATTTTATATTTTAGATTGGAGTGTTATCTATTGATTCTAAAACATTTCAAATCAAAGAAGGAATTACACAAATTGGACGACATCCAGATTGCAATGTAGTATTAAATAATCCGGTGAGTAACCTTTAAGTAATCCTCTATATGTATATATATTTAAATCTCTTTATTTTTAAATGAACATACTCAAATGCTTATAAAGTATATTCAAATTAAATAGAAAAAGTGATCACTTTTAATATGCTATCGCAATAAAATTGTCAATAAAATATTTCTATATCATATAAATTATATTTAAATTACATTTGTACTTTTATCTTTCATATATTTTCATATTGTTTTGCTATGTATATGATATATTAAATAATGTAGAAATAAAAACATCATTATTAATTTTGAATTTATGCAATTTTAATATTTATGTAATTTAACATAAATTTGTAGACAATATTCTTATAATTCTTCTCTTAATATATCAGATGCAGTATATAATTTATTTTCGTTAAAGTTAACAGAATTCCAAAAATCTTTTTGATCAAAATTTATGCTCCTACCCATCTGAATTTTATCTGATCCGGCAATATACAAATAATGAAATAACTTTTCATTTGGATTTAATCTTGGCCATTGAACACCACTGATATTTGACACCCTGATCAGTTTAAAAGATATATATATATATAAAATATAACATAAATTGCTATAAGTAAGATTCTTTTAAATCATTTTAATATGCACAATTAAAGATATTTACTCGTTTGTTGCAAATGATACCCAAAAATCGGTCAACATTCTTTGCATTTTAATATCATCTGTTATTGTTGTGGGATGAAGATACTGAGTATCTACAACAAAGAATGCGTTACATGCATGAGTCACACCTGTATAAAATATCAAATAAGTACACTTGTCTTCTTTTCCTTTTCTAAGTTCTAGCCTAGATAATATAATCTAAATAAGATCTAAATAATATACCATAATCGTTAGTAGTTCTACTTATGGCATCACTGACACTGTATGTGCCTCTGCAGATATAATAATATCAAACAGGTTGTCGATTAACTTTAGCCTGCATTTGGCAGCTTTCTCACTATCAACAACAAAGAATCTATCATTAGCTACTTGAATCAAGGATTGTATCGTTGTGTCATCAATTTTCTTTCATCCAAAGTAATGATTTCTTATGAATTTGGCAACTTCAACATACTTTTCTCTAGGAAGGGTGTAATTACAATCCAAGAAATAACACCTCCTTGTAACTAACAATAATTACTTATCAAACATATATACTTACTTAATAATGGGTACATCCCCTTTATTTTCTATTACTTTTATTATACGATTTGGTATCGATTTATATAGTTTCTGGATATAATTTTGACTTAACGTATCCCATTCGCGTACAATTGCATTTTTTAATTCTTGTACGTGTCGATACTACTTTCCATTCGCGTATACGCCGTGAACAAGTTCTGCCCATCAATTTTTAATAATATTAAGGTCCGAGGAGCGTGCAGGCCACGGCAAAATAGATATATTATTTTCATTAAAATATGATTGGACCAATCTTGATGTGTATACAGATGCATTATCTTGTTGAAGGATGTAATCAGGTCCAGAAATGCGTACTGCATGATTATCTATTTCTTCTTTTATTAAAATTTATGTATCGGACACTATTCATTCTCCCATTGATGAACTTGAAACTTGTCTTGCCGAAATAACTGAAACCATCACGCTGCCTCCTCCCATTTGTCGTCGAATTGCTGACATTGTCTCTTTTCTTATGTCATGAAAATAATATTGGAACTCATCAGGACCATCCATGTTGAATCTTTTTCGTTTGAGGATAATACCCTTCTCCATTTTTTCCAATACATTCTTTCTTTTGCAAAGGTAAACGTTTCGTTGTTAACAAAGGTTTCTTTTTCAATTTTAGCCTCTTAATGTCTTTGCAGGATAGTGGAACTCGACGAACACTTGAAACACTGGCACTAACACTAGATTTTTCCATTATTTGCTTTGTTGTTAACGCGAGTTGCGTTAATACGAGTTAGAAACTACACGCAAAATTGCTCGCTTATCACGATCGGACGGCGACGGGCGACCAGTACTTTTCTTTTTGCCGTAATCTTTAACATTTTTTAGGAAATTGTGTATTACTCTACGACTTCTTCTTCTTACTTTTGATATTTTTGTTACTGATAACTGTTGCTGTTTTAGTTCAAGAATTTGCTTTTTTGAGTTTTATTTTTTTCCGCGTCCCATACTTACAAATTTATTGTTGTAGAGTGTGTTATCATTTCGACCTTAATATGGAACAGCTTCTCTTTGTTGTATACAAACATCTGCGACATTGTGACTTAATTCTAGCAAGCCGCATATCCTGAGCTCATAATGATTTGATAGTATATGTTACAGACGAATAACTTTACATGCGTCATTGAGAAATTAAAGATAACACACCTGGGTTATTTTTTTGACGAGGAGTGTACAAGTACCCGACTTTGTTTCTAACCGGAAAATAGGTATAGTTCTTTAATGAGTTTCCCCTGATTAAAATGTATATTAAATTATTTGATTATAGATGATTTTAATTTACATAGATTTGATAAAAATATATTTTTGAAGGCTAAAGATAAGGTACTATTAGAAATATTAAAAATTGATATTAATAAAAATATCGAAATATGAAATTTTATTTAAATAAGGCTACCTATTAATACAAATACATATTTATTTACATTTGTCTTGTCATTATTTCAAATTTAATCAAACAAAGAAATTACTCAAAAATTCGATACAAACATATATTGATGCATTAAAACAATTTTGTTTCTCGTATAAAGTTTTTAGAATATCCTTACTTAAAGCTGTATAATAAAACGGAGTGAATCTGTTCTGTTCGTATTTTCTACATCCAAACTAATCATATTTTTTGAAATAATATGATTTTTGCATAAATTATATTATCCGGTATTCACGGAGTGTACATTGAGATATGACATTCCTACATGATATGATACCTGATAACGATGATATAATTAGAAAAATAGACATAGATATGTAATTTAACAATTTTATAATTATGTATGTTCCTTATTTTCTAATTCTCTAATTCTAATTATCTTACGCAGTGGATTTTTGTAGCTAAACCAGGTCAATTAATTTTATTGTAAAGAAAGTTCTCTAATTAAGTCATCAATCTCTCTCTTAATAATAGGCATAACATTTCGAACTAACAAATAATATACTAAAAATAAAGATTATCGTCAATATTAAAGTATTAAATAACGACTATAGACAAGCAAATTAATTTAATTTACAGACGGTATCAAAGAAACATGCGGAAATCGAAGCTAATTATCAAGGAACTGAATCGTGGATTTGTGACCTGAATTCATCTAATAAAACAAAATTAAATAACGTAATGTAAATTTTATCTATATGTTACATTTAATTGATTCCTAACAACAGATACATTAGATTAGATCTTAATTTAGATTAGATTAGATTAAGATGGTAGTTGTTATTAGCAATTATTTAGCAGGTGCTTAGTTTCTCATTCAATTTAATTCGGATTGCACGAAAGTTATTCATTCTTGTTTAACATCTGAAATTACTGAAACTAACAAATCAACATGTTTAATTATATATTCAATTGAATAAAGTGAATATTCAATATTTCTGTTCAAAGATACTGGATATTTGCTTTATCTGCTTTGTGCATATTATTTACCGATATTATTATTAACTGACATAACAAAATTTCAGCATAATTTAATGTTTCTTCTCTTTCTTTCTTTTTTCTCTATAGACAATTCTCAGGCCAAATCGATGCTACGAGTTGAAAAATGAAGACGTGCTGGAGTTTGGCACGGTCCGGGCAATTTTCAAAATCTGTCGTTCGATGGAAGATTCTTTAGTACCAGAAACCCCAGCGGCAAATCATCAGAAGGCACAGCAAACGATCATTCCAGGAACACCTGACTCGTCATTTGTAATTATCATTGATTTCGTGATTATATGAATCATTATATAAATATATTATAAAGTATATTATCAAATGCAAATATATTATAGAGAATGTCACAGATATTTATGCGGAACGATATCAGCATATTCTGTGAATAGAAATGAGAAAAAAATATCATATAAACATATAAATAATTAAAACTGTATACCAAATGGTTTTTTTTATTGTTAATGGATAAAGATAGCTTGACGATATCTCTATTAATTCCAATTCAAAATGTTGTCCGGTTTTATAAATATTGGATTGACTTCTATGAAGAATTTAATTTTAAATGAATTTTCTCTTGATCAAGGCACCTAAAACCAAAGGGATGCAAGTGAAATTTTTCCGATATCGAGGAAATTACGTTTGAAATTCAAATGTTCTAAAAAAATCTCACATAATGTGAATATAGTGAATATATGGTATCATGTTATTAAAATTTAAAAAACAAATTAAGTTACATATATTTAATGCTTGTCACATGTATAGTAAGGAGCATATATGCAAGTTTCTAACGAATTTTATCTTTTAGTTTATGAATTGTTGGATATACGAAAAATAATGTTATAATAGAACGAACTTATTATATTTTACTTAATATTATTATTTACTTAGTAGTCAATTTTTCTAGTCTTTAAATGAAGCTTTTATACAACAGTGGATTACTTAAATTATTTGCAAGATTAAAACGAATATTTAACGATTTAACGATCTGTTCTTGATTCGAAAATTTCAAAAATATCACTTGGATTCATTTGCTTCTAAATGCCTCAATTTTAATGGATACATTTCTAACGTGTATAATAAACTTATTACTTAATATACTTAATATACTTATTTCCTCGCGACTGAATTTATGGTAACATGATGTCTGATGAACTTAGGAACCAAAGAACGGATCCTTTCCAGCATTCATTGTTAAAATTTATTCTCATTTGGCCATTACATCAAATGAAAAACTTTTCTATTATTTTGTATTTTTATTATAACTTCTTAATGAAGCATATGTACATGAGTCCATCTTTATTTTCACTCATCAGATATGCTAGCGTTGCTTTGTGGAAAAAACTGAAAGATTTACTATATATTATCTCAAATATAAGTATACATATATTAACAAATATGTATTCTTTATGTAGGATAATTCATCCACGGTGGGAAATGTCTCCGTAATCCCTGCCACTCAAGGTAAGGAGGAAAGGTCTGTATTTCGACACCCGACGTTACCTCCGAAGACCGCTATTAACAGCACTCAGAAAAGTGGCATTCAGAATACCTCTATCGACGCCCAAGATAACTTGCAAAACTTCGATGTAGAAGAAAAACAAAACGTAGGTGGATCAAGAATTAGTATATACGATATGGAAACACAAAATTCCTCGTTTAATTTCCATGATGAAACGGACGTTGACATTGAGGATATTGACACTCAAAAAATTTGCATTTCGCGCAGCATCAAAAACCTTACAAAATCTGTACAGGAACAAAAGGTTGACATGCACGATATACAAGCGCAAGCAGAAGCACCAGAAGAAGTTACTGATATTCATGATATAGAAACGCAGTACGATATAAATATTCAGGATATGAAAATATCCAAGAAGATTAATACTCATAATTTAAAAACTCGAGATAGTGACAAACTTGAAGCAACACGAATTGAAAAGGAAGGAAATTTAACGAATGAGGTGAGAAGTAATGTTAATAATACAGTAGTACAAAAAGATAAGGGTAATGAAAGCACATCCAATCCTAATAACACTGATGAAGGTGAGAATCAGAATAAGAAATTGCCAGGTATTGAGAAAGGTTTGCAAAACCGTCTAGAGGAAATTGAAACAAGCGAAGATGAAACTTCGGAACTTGAGATGAGTCGAAATTTGCTTGGTCCAAAAGAATTAGAAGATTTCATTGAGGATGACGATCTGTCTGATGAAGTAAAATCAAAATCACCGACTTTAATAAAAACTTCATGTGTAAACAACAATTGCGATGTAAACAATAAAAGCACTGATAATGAGAACATATTTGAAGCTGTGACACAGGTCAATAAAAGCGACGAAGATGCCTTTAGAAGCCTAAGTGAACGTAAATACACGTTTCAGGCGTCTTTAGTAGCTGATGACTCTGATCATACCGACAATGAGGATGTGTTTCAGAGGTATTCGCGCAAAGATAGTCAAGAAAATAAAAAGTCTTTAAACAATCGAGTTTCTGATAGCGAAGATTCAATTACGGATGAAGAAGGTCGTTTTACAGAAATAGCTGTGAAAATGAAACAGGCTGTAGAATTTTCGCAGCTTAATAGGAGTAAAGAAATAAAGAACAGTGCTAATTCAAGTAAAGACTCTGATGATCTATTTGATATGCTTACTCAACCAGTAAATCGGAAGGACGAAGATTTATCGCCCAAATCTAATGAAAAACCAAAAGATAATAAATATGAAAGTGAAGTAGATTCTAATAGCCCAACGCAAGTAAATAATAAGAAAGAAATGAAAAATAATATGGAAATAAATGATGAAATACAAACAAAGGAACTCAATGACATAACACCAACTCAAGTTCTTTCAACAAATAAATCTTCCTTAAGAGAGGCTAGTTGTACTATTTCAACAGGAAACAATAAAAAACCTGATAAAGAAGATATTACTGAAATAGAAGACAATACACCTAACCAGATAATTAACACTAAAAAGAAACCGTTAGACGTGAGCAATAACGAACCTCCTTGTTCTTTAGATCCTTTGGTATTAAATGTTACAGATAGATGTAGTATTGAAGACATCGATTATGAAATGGCATGTACTCAACCAATTAATGATATCGAAAAGCAAAAGTCTGTATCATCAATTT